TGCATTAAGACCAACCTGTCCAAACATTGATGTTATTATGTTTATACAAAGTTAATTCACAAGGTTTTTTTTTAGAAAATACACGTTTCTCTGAATATAAGTGGTAACAGCATCAAAATCTGTTAGCTACTTGTTATCTATTAGTTACTAGTTAATCTAGAATTACTTGTTGTCTACTCACAAAGAATGAAAACATTAAGGAAATAAAGAATTATATTTAAAATATGGTGTAAAAATTAATAATTCTATTTTCCTAATCTTAATGTTTAATTAAAAAACATAAAGGAAAAAATATTCTACACATACTTTGTTGACTGCTGCTTGTTGTTTGTTGCTAAGAATCAGAGATGCCAGCCTAGGATGGAAGGGATAACTTTTGAGTGATTATCTCATGTTTTTTCTTATTTCAGCCACAGGAAATTTTTCCTTGCCACTCTTGCTTTAATTTTGCTCGATATGTCTTAGGCTGGGAATTCTGTTAAGCTTTGGAACAATATGATGACAGCAGGAATGGGGATAAGGAAAGGAACTTCTAGGGTTGGGAGAGAATGTTATCTCCATGCAGCCTGTGATAAGGTAGTGAAAGGAGAACTGGGTTTGCCTTGGATGTATTGCACATACACATCAATGTAAGTCCAAGTGCTCTTCTTCTTTTAAGTTCATACATACAATTTGAAGAAAGTGATGGGACTAGGGTAAGTATCAACAGTGGTCCTTTTAAATGTCTTTGTTATTCGGGAGTGATGCTCTAAAACAGTCTTGGTGATGTGCCAGATCTCACTGAAATCATCACACAGTCCTTTTAGTGTGTTTTTTATTATTATTATTATTATTATTATTAACAACAACACAACAACAACAACAGCCATGTTGATATGACATCTAAAGCTAAACACGAGGTTGAGGACACCTTCCTGACTGTCTGAGTAGGAAAGTGTTCCCAGTTGAGGGTTTTCTTTGATTATTCCGTATTCTGTGTAGAATTGGCACAAATGATAATGCCAGTGGAGATATCACTGTTGCACTTAGACATCAAAGACTGAGTATTTATTTATTTATTTATTTAATTGTATATGGCAAGTAAATATGTTCTTAATAGGCACGACTGCTTGTTGGAATTAGCAAGCTTGTTTTGCTGAATACAGAGAAATCTTGTGTTTCTAGACTATTAGCAGGCATTTTTACCATTTTAGTGTCAGGTAAGTCCCTTTTAAATTTAATTTAAAAAGCGTTAAATTACTTTGGATCACTATAGTTGATGAAATATAGAGTCTAGACGAGAAGGAAAGAGGATAGCTAACAGAAGTCAACAGGTACATTTACATAAACAGCATTTTCTAAAGTACAGATTTCCATTAATGTTAAGATCTTTGAGCTCCTACCTGCCAGAGCAGCGCTAGAGACTGAAAGAAGAACCAGTAAAGAGAACCAGCAGTTAACTCTGTTCATTCTAACACAAGTATGAGCCGCAGATTCTTCCCCTTCACACAACGCTGAACTGGTTTTGTGGTGAATTTTTAATGAAGTTACACAGAACAATGCTGTTCTGAGGCTCCACCCACTTTTTTATATTGGCAACAACAGACAACTGTTACATTTATGTGCGTTTTGCTTCACCATAACACAAAGCAAGAGAGGATTTTACACATTGTTTCATTTACAAGCAGAGATAAGAAGCCCCGCCTTGTTTTAATTAATCTCTCTGACAGAAATGCTTTTCACAGAGCTCATTTACATTTCCTACACAAATACCCTTTGCAGCTATAACAGCTTCAACTCTTCTGGGAAGGCTTTCCACAGGTTTAGGAGTGTTTATGGGAATTTTTGACCATTCTTCCAGAAGCGCATTTGTGAGGTCAGACACTGATGTTGGACGAGAAGGCCTGGCTCGCAGTCTCCGCTCTAATTCATCCCAAAGGTGTTCTATCAGGTTGAGGTCAGGACTCTGTGCAGGCCAGTCAAGTTCTTCCACACCAAACTCGCTCATGTCTTTATGGAGCTGCTTTGTGCACTGGTGCACAGTCATGTTGGAACAGGAAGGGGCCGTCCCCGAACTGTTCCCACAAAGTTGGGAGCATGAAATTGTCCAAAATCTCTTGGTGCTGAAGCATTAAGAGCTCCTTTCACTGGAACTAAGGGGCCGAGCCCAACTCCTGAAAACAACCCCACACCATAATCCCCCCTCCACCAAACTTTACACTCGGCACAATGCAGTCAGACAAGTACCGTCTCCTGTCAACCGCCAAACCCAGACTCGTCCATCGGATTGCCAGACGGAGAAGCGTGATTGGTCACTCCAGAGAACACGTCTCCACTGCTCGAGTCCAGTGGCGGCGCTTTACACTTCGTGGCTGAGTTGCTGTCGTTCCCAATCACTTCCACTTTGTTATAATATCTCTGACAGTTGACTGTGGAATATTTAGTAGCGAGGAAATTTCACGACTGGACTTGTTGCACAGGTGGCATCCTATCACGGTACCATGCTGGAGTTCGCTGAGCTCCTGAGAGCGACCCATTCTTTCACTAATGTCTGTAGAAGCAGTCTGCAGGCCTAGGTGCTTGGTTTTATACACCTGTGGCCATGGAAGTGATTGGAACACCTGAATTCAATGATTTGGTTGGGTGAGTGAATACTTTTGGCAATATAGTGTATCATAGCATTCGGGCCCGCACAGCCTGACTGTGCAAAAACTTTTTTTTCCACCCAGAGACTAAACTGATGGACAACTTCATGCGTGCACACACACACACACACACACACACTCACTGAGCACTTTATTAGGAACATCTCCTTCTTTCTACACTCACTGTCCACTTTATCAGCTCCACTGACCGTATAGATTCACTCTGTAGTTCTACAGTTACAGACTGTAGTCCATCTGTTTCTCTGCATAATTTGTTACCCTGTTCTTCAGTGGTCAGGACCCCCATGGACCCCCACAGAGCAGGTACTATTTGGGTGGTGGATCATTCTCAGCACTGCGGTAACACTGTTAACAAGTGGTGGTGGTGTGTTAGTGTGTGTTGCGCTGGTGCGAGTGGATCAGACACAGCAGTGCTGCTGGAGTTTTTAAACACCTCAGTGTCACTGGTGGACACTAAAAATATCCAGCTGAAAGCGTGCTGTGGGCAGCGTCCTGTGGGCAGCGTCCTGTGACCACTGATGAAGGACTAGAGGATGACCAACACAAACTGTGCAGCAGCAGATGAGCTATCGTCTCTGACTTTACATCTACAAGGTGGGCCGACAAGGTAGGAGCGTCTAATAGAGTGGACAGTGAGTGGACACAGTGTTTAAAAACTCCAGCAGCACTGCTGTGTCTGATCCACTCAGACCAGCACGACACACACTAACACACCACCACCACGTCAGTGTCACTGCAGTGCTGAGAATGACCCAGAATGATTGTATTGCATTGTTTTGCATGTTTGTGGTGTTGCACCATGGTCCTGGAGGAACATTGTTTTGTTTTACTGTGTACTTGTGTATAGCTGATATGACAATAAAGCCTCTTGAACTTGAATTTGATAAAAATATATCTAAACATGGTCTAAAATAAGGAATAATGTCAGCTCTTTTAAAAACACTGCACCCAATATAACTATGTATATGCTATTTAGTTATTTTACAAAAGATGCTTTATGTATAAAGTGTGAAGCTTTGATGTTCATTACAAAAGTGCAGGAGACAATGAAGGTCTGGCGGGGGGGGGTGTCTATCAGCAGTGCTGAATGAACTTGATTTTGCCTACCAAAATGGTGCATCACTGTTTCATCATTGTCAGGTACAAGGATGATCTTACATCCTGATATGGTGATTTATGTTTCAGTATTCAGTTTGTGAGTTCAGACTGTGGCTTCGCCAAAAGGTGGTAGTATGAGAGGAGACTGATTGAGGGAGGGAACGAGCTCTGAGAACTTGGGGAAGTCTGGGTGGCTTCTGCTTGGAGGGAGGAGATTGGGTGTCAGTGAGGATTGCAAAAACATATTCCTGACTTTTAGGCATTCCATCTCCATACTAGTACAGTATTTGATATACAGTTCTTACTGGTACAGTGTGTGGTATACAATATGTTATATGGTATACTGCATACTATACTGGTATGTACTGTATACCACACACTGCACCAGTTTATACTGTATTTGGAGTGTTATATTAACTTAAACTTCTCAGAGTTCCACCAGATTGCATGGAAGTATTCTTGTACGGAGAGCAGGCATCAGTGAAGCACATAAGTAAACCTTTTTCTTTTCATTAAAAACACTTACTGGAGGCTGATGAACACCCACTCTAAGAGGACGCTATAGAAGGAGACAATAAGGAGAAAATGATCAGAGAGATCCATCAGAGGCACTGTCTAGTTCTTCATTTTCAACCAAATTTTGTGCTATAAATACATTTGGTAACACTATTTGGAGTGGTCCTTTGTAGAGGATTAATAAACCCTTAACAGAGTATCAGTAACACATCAACAACATATCAGTGATGTAACAGTAAAGTAGCAGTAGTGAAGCATCTGAATACATGGAGGTAAAAAATTTGAAGATATGCTGTTGATATTTATGTTAAGTAGATGTATTGTTGGTGTGTTACATGAAGTAGACTACCAGTACTTCCATTAAGCAAAACATAACCTTACCCAACCTCAACCCAAAACCTATTCCTAATCCTCACCCTGGCACTAATCCTAACCCTAATCTTATCCAAACCCTATTCCAGTGAAGCTCCAGCTACAGAATGGTGTCAGTGTGTCTGTAACAGCTTGTTGAGGATGTTGATGGTCTGTATTAAACCTGTCCCGTGTTCAGTTCCTCTCAGTTAAAGTCTGAACTTGGACTTTAATAAATAAACTGAAAAGCACCTGAATTCATCAGATTTTAAACATACTGTCTCTTGATATTCTACTAAATGTATTCACTGCTGATACATCATTGATATATTGTTGATATGATACTGAGTTTGTGTTAAGTGTTTATTTAATCTAAAAAGGTCAGCTCAGAATAGTGTCACCATATATTGTGTTTTTTAGTGTCTGACTACAAAAGCTGCAAAACACTTTCAGCTCTGAACTCTCCCTTACCTGTTTGCCTTTTCTTGTATATGATCCGGATGATGACCACCATCACAGTCACCAAGAACAGAGCAGCCACCACAAATGTAAGAATGGGCCTGATGGGCTCCCCTGGATCAAAATCTGAAACACAATTTAAGAAAGTGATAAAAAGCTCAGAGTCAGCTGAGGAATTTTCTGTGTCACTCTGAGATTCAGTACCCAAATGGACGTCCAGCTTGTTGTCCAGGCTGAGGTGGGTGACTGTATAAGTGTAGCTGTGCTTCTTCAGCTCCTCTTCACTGAGCTCCAGATTCTTCCTCATCTGGTAGGTCCCGTCTCCGTTGGGCAGCAGGTCTCCTCCAGTGGTCAGGTTGTCAGGAACTGGCTGTCCGTCTCTGAGGATGGTCAGGTTGATGTGACGGGGGTAGAAACCAGTGGCCAGGCAGGTTACTCCATCCCACCCAGACACTGAGCGTCTTTTCTGGATGAGCCTCACTCTGGGCTTCACTGCAGAAAAGGAACATCACATTTAGATTTCTAATTATGATTTAGATTTACATATCAGATTTTATTGGATAATACACTGCAAAAAAATTAGTCATGTCAATTTAAACTTGTAAGTCAAGTGTAACGTCTTTGGCCTTGTCTGTGCTGTGCCTCTGTGCCTGCTGTTGTTTACCTTCCCTCATGTCTCTGGACATGTGCTTTTCTTTGTTTTTGTTTTCCTGCCTTCTGTTTAGCCAGTCACCTAGCCTCCCGCTCAGCCATCTGGGTTCCCTGACAGGTCAGCTATCCAGCCTCATGTTCCTGCACTTTGTGCAGATCTTTCTCTGGCTCTACAGTCTCTGGCTCCAGAGCCGGCTCGTAAGTCCCCTGGTTCTCTGCTGCCTTCCTGAGTTACTTCAGTGCTAGCCTTCCAGTACTCCTCCCCTGACTCAGTGCCCTCAGCCTGTGCTGCTGACCAGGTCCTTAAGCCAGGCACTCGCTGTGACCTGTGTGCTTCACCTCTGACCCTTACCATGACCTGGGTTCTGCAACACTGCCTGTGGTCCCATCTGCTTCTGCCCTGCTGCCAGCTCTACCCTCTTCTGCTGGCAGCCTAGTCTCCCGACAAACTGGCTGTCCAGTGCCCCACCCAGTCAGCCTCCATTGCTAAATTGGCACCCCAAACTGCTCTTACGCCAGTTCTCAGAACTGCTCCTGTGTCTGCCTCCCAGTTTGCTGCCCGGGTCCAGTCATTTATATTCATTTTTAGTTAGTTCTCCTGCCTTGTCTGTTTTATCACTCGTCCCCAGTCCTGTGCATGTCCCAATCATAGCTTATCTGCATGTTTCTGTTTGAATTCTGGTCACTGTCTGTGTCTCAGTCCTCATTTCTACCCTTGTGTCCACTGCTGTCCTGATTACTCTCCCTATCATACACTGTAAAAAGTTTCTCATCAGATCTACTGAAAAAAATGACTTACATGTGGTAACAAGTAAATTGTATTACAGGGTATTTCTGTCACTGTCTTGGTTCCTGTGTCTGTCTCTTTACCTGTACCATCATTGGTCCAGTCTTCTCTCCAGATCAATGGCAGTCCTGTCCCTGTCTAGTCTCATGTTCACCCTGTTAGTTCTCCTGTTTGTCACAGGGCCTGTCACAAGTGTCTCATCCCCTCCTCAATTCTTTGTCACAGTACCTGTCTCTGTGCCTGCCCAGTCTGTCCTGCCCAGTGTCTCTTCTCCTGCTTTGTTAACAGTCAAGTCCTCCATCCAGTCATCTGTCCAGTTCAATATCTCTTAGGTCCCCTTACCTGTACGTCACACCTAGCTCAAGGGTTCATCTCAGTACCTTTAGTCAGGGAACATAACTGAACCATAATCCACTGAAATGATATGTTCTAAGCTGTACTGACTCCACACACCCCGTCTCGTCTCCAGGCTTTTATTTTACTGTTCTGTTTAAAACATTCGGTTATGAAAAGGTACAAATACGAACTTTTCACCTGGAAAAACTGATTTAAGGTTCACAATCAGACCTTAAAACCACTGTTGGAGCTTTGAGGGAACATTTACACTGTTTGTACCTTGATGAACGAAAAATGTACCTGAACAGAGCCTTTATTTCTAACAGTGTAGTAACTGAACAATAAGCCTTTAGTATGTAATAAGACTGCAATTTTGAGGGGTTAATAAGGGATCTCAAAAGAAGATTTCTACCAGATTGATCTTTTGACTTTGGCATGTAAAACAACCGAATTTTAACAAATGAAGCGAAAAAAAAGAAAGAAAAATATCCTACCTTTCCTCTTCACTTGTTTACTTCTTTGTTTAAGATAACCCTTGAGTATTTCAGTGCATGTTGGGTAGTACAGATGTTCATAACGCCACAGGATTAAATCCATTTGTAGTTTCTTTTTGGCTTCTGTGACATCTATAGCACTTTGATATGTGAATTTGCCTTCATGAAGACGGAGTTCATCGATTGTGGAGCCTCGGAGTGCATTCTTGGTGATCATTTGTCCAGGTTGGTCATTGTCAATCAGTTCACACACCACCAGTCTCTGCTGAACATGAATGTCTAAAAGAGAAGAAGATGAAATCAACCTAACACTGGAAAAAAGTTAAAGTGGAATCATTGGTGCTCCTGCTGGACCCACGACCCCTGCTGTAACAGTGGGTTGGGAAACTGACAAGTTTGGTCATATTTTCATCTTTATTAAAGTTCTTTAGGATTTTTCAAGTGAATTATTATTATTATTATTATTATTATTATTATTATTATTACTACTACTATTACTACCATTATTACTATTATTGCTTGGTAAAAATAATAGGTAAAACAATCTTACCTTTGTGTAGTTTGATAACATTTATGGTATAAAGAAGGCCTTAAGGACTCATATATAGTATGAACGACTAACTTGATAAATTTCCTAATACATCTGGAAAGTAAAATTCTGTTTTCATTTATTCTAATTGTATCAGTTTTAATAAAAAATATAGTTGCAATGAAAGGGTTCCAGGCATGAGCATAAAAGGGCCAAGGGAGCACTCCAGGAGCCTTGACTGGAGAAATTTCACGTACATGTACATGAATTTTTGCCTTCTTGAATATGCCAAATCGGGTTGCAGTTGTTATCTCGCAGGTCTGCCCCTATTGTTACTCATGTGACCCACCAAAAAAGGCCCTTACACACTTCCTATACTTACCACAGGAACACTGGCTGTTTTCCATACTTCCATGTCTACACTGTAAAAAGTGGCTCATCTACTTAAATAAATGACTTCATCAGGTAACAAGTAAATTAACTAGTTATATTCAAGTCTAAAAATTACTTTGATTGAAAGAATCGCTCATTCAAAGTATTTATTTAGGTTGAATAAAAGTAGTTCATTTACTTGTTACCAGATAATACCAGTATTTTTTACGTTGATCTGAAGAGGCATTTTTTTACAGGGTAACAATCTAAAAATAGCAATGGGTTTAAGCACCTTTTGGTGTTTAGGACCAGACAAAAGGTGAAGAAGGAGGAGGAGAGGAAGAATAATAGCAAACACTGCTTTTTTTTTATCATTTTTTTTTTTACTTTTTAATCATTTTTTAGGACATAGAGCTGAAGAAACCTAGATATCACTGTTGAAATCCTTGCCCATAAGCAAGCAGCTCAGTGAGCTGAGTTGAACATTACTGCGGTCTTAATTAAAATGTAAGTTCATTTCTCTTATACACTCTCACTTATAACTACACTGATCACCAGATTTAGAGCCATATGCTTATCAGTGTATAATATTGTAGCTTCTCACTAATGGGAGTTATGGCCATGCAGAGCGGCTGCGCAAGGAGGTTCTTTTGGAAGCATAAGGTGGTCTTCTCCAACACAGATTCACCACGTGGTGAGCAGCCACTCACACTCTCCACCATGGACGTCTGTCACGCTCAGAGCAAGGTGAATGCGCGGAAGGCAGCTAGCTTCCCCAACTAGCTTCAAGACAGCCACAATTGTGCCAGTGCCAAAGCATTCGCCTGCTTCAGCTCTGAATGACCTCCGCCCTGTCACACTCACCTCCATCATCTCCAAGTGCTTTGAAAGACTAGTTCTTTCACATTTGAAGTCCTGTCTGCCTGCTACACTGGACCCAAACCAGTTTGCCTACCGCTGCAACAGGTCAACAGAGGACGCTATTTCTACAGCACTCCACACTGTAGTGACCCACCTGGACTGTCAAAACTCATGTCAGAATGCTGTTCATTGACTTCAGTTCAGTATTTAACACAGTGATCCCCTCCAAGCTGATCTGAAAGCTTAGCCAGCTTGGTATCAGCACATCTCTGTGCAATTGGCTTCTGGACTTTCTGACTGACAGACCTCAGTCTGTTAAGTTAGACAAACTCTTCTCCTGCCCCATCACCCTGAACACCGGCGTGCCACAAGACTGTGTGCTGAGCCTTCATCTGTACCCCCTGCTCACCTATGACGGTGTTCCTGTTTATGGCTCTAACTCCATAATCAAGTTCGCGGACGACACCACGGTGATAGGTCTGATCAGAGGTGATGATGAGATGGCCTACGGGGACGAGGTGCAGCACCTGGTGGCATGGTGTGAGGACAACAACCTGGCACTCAACACCCAGAAAACCAAGGAGATCGAGGTGCAGCACCTGGTGGCATGGTGTGAGGACAACAACCTGGCACTCAACACCCAGAAAACCAAGGAGATCATAGTGGACTTCAGGAGGGTTAGGAGGCTTATTGGCTCTGTAGGGGGTTATTGGCTCTGTACCTGTACTCTGCACAATGACAAAGTTGAATCTAATCTAATCTAATCTAATCTAATCTATTTGATGTTATATCATCTTTTCTATTCCAGCATGACTGAGCCCCAGTGCACAAAGCAGCTCCATAAAGGCCTGACTGGGTGAGTTTGGTGTGGTAGAACTTGACTGGCCCTCACAGAGCCCTGACCTCAACCCCATAAAACACCTTTGGGATGAACTAGAAAGGAGATTATGAGCCAGACCCTCTCGTCCAACATCAGTGTCTGACCTCACAAATGCTCTTCTGGATAAATGGGCAGAAATTCCCACAGACACACTCCAACATCTTGTAGAAGCTTCCCAGAAGAGTGGAAGCTGTTAGAGCTGCAAAGGGGGACCAACTCCATACTAATTCCTATGGATTTAGAATGGGATTCATAAAAGCTCCTGTAGGTGTGATCTGTAGGTGTCCCAATACTTTTGTCCATTTCCTCTTCACAACACTTAAAAGATGTTTAGGGACTGAAGACCCTGAGTGATTAAGTGTTTCAGGTGTAATTTTGTACCATTCTTCCTAAAAAGAGGTGTCAAGGTGTGCAATAGTACAGGGTCTACATTGTCACATCTTGCAGTTTAAAATGCACCACACATTCTCTATTGGACACAGGTTGGGACTGAAGGCAGGCCAGTCCAGCACATGTACCCTCTTCTTCCACAGCCATGCCTTTTTAATGTGTGCAGATTTTGGTTTTGCATTGTCTCATTGAAATATGCAGGGCGTCCCTGGAAAAGATGTCATCTTGAAGGCAGTATACTGTATGTTGCTCAAAAATCTGTCCTTTTCAGCATTAATGGTGTCACAGAAGTGTAAGTTACCTTTGCCAAGAGCACTGACCCAACTTTTTTGTAGGCCTGAACGGCACAAATGGATGTACAATTACAAATTAAATTAACTTGACCAGACAAATCACAAAATATCCTGTGTTGATACTGTCTGTAATGAAGTAAAAGTATTTTTTTTATTTGCATTGTGTGTAATAAGTGTGTATATATGCTATACATCATACAATATACACACTATATTGCCAAAAGTATTTGCTTGTCTACCTTCACACGCATATGAACTTGAGTGACATCCTATTCTTAATCCATAGGGTTTAATATGATGTCTGCCCACCCTTTGCAGCTATAACAGCTTCAACTCTTCTGGAAAGGCTTTCCACAAGGTTTAGGAGTGTTTATGGGAATTTCTGACCATTCTTCCAGAAGCGCATTTGTGAGGTCAGACACTGATGTTGGACGAGAAGGCCTGGCTCGCAGTCTCCGCTCTAATTCATCCCAAAGGTGTTCTATCAGGTTAAGGTCAGGACTCTGTGCAGGCCAGTTAAGTTCTTCCACACCAAACTCGCTCATCCATGTCTTTATGGACCTTGCTTTGTGCACTGGTGCGCAGTCATGCTGGAACAGGAAGGGGCCGTCCCCAAACTGTTCCCACAAAGTTGGGAGCATGAAATTGTCCAAAATCTCTTTTTCTGCTGAAGCATTAAGAGTTCCTTTCACTGGAACTAAGGGGCCGAGCCCAACTCCTGAAAACAACCCCACACCATAATCCCCCCTCCACCAAACTTTACACTCGGCACAATGCAGTCAGACAAGTACCGTCTCCTGGCAACCGCCAAACCCAGTCTCGTCCATCAGATTGCCAGACGGAGAAGCGTGATTGGTCACTCCAGAGAACACATCTTCACTGCTCTAGAGTCCAGTGGCGGCGCTTTACATCACTGCATTCAACGCTTTGCATTGCGCTTGGTAATGTAAGGCTTGGATGCAGCTGCTCGGCCATGGAAACCCATTCCATGAAGCTCTCTATGCTGTTCTTGAGCTGATCTGAAGGCCACATGAAGTTTGGAGGTGTGTAGCGATTGACTCTGCAGAAAGTTGGTGACCTCTGCGCACTATGCGCCTCAGCATCCGCTGACCCCGCTCTGTCATTTTATGTGGCCGACCACTTCGTGGCTGAGTTGCTGTTGTTCCCAGTCGCTTCCACTTTGTTATAATACCACTGACAGTTGACTGTGGAATATTTAGTAGTGAGGAAATTTCACAACTGGACTGCACAGGTGGCGTCCTATCATGTATTATTCTTGCTCTTTTTTTCACCTTTTTATCATGCACCAATAAATACTCTTGTACTGCACATGCTATTTTAGTTTGTCATATTCCAAGCATTGTGTTGTTAAAACATTTCTGACTTTTTCCATCTCTCCTCTGCATTTGCTTACATCTTCCCATGTGCACATTCTCCACTGAAAAGAATGCGCTTCATTAAAACAAATTCTTAAACATCTATTAAACAATTTTGGATTCCATTGCATCAGTTAATGTGTTTGTACTCAAGTTTTACTTGCACATGTGCTTTTTTTGAACACATGGAGTGTATGCTGTAAACGTGTTGTACCAGCAAATGTATTGCAAGAACTATTACACTTACTGTCAGTTAGATTTAGGCCATATGTTGCATATAACCATCTTTGTTCAAGGTCAGCATGCATGTAGGCAAGTATTGTTTTGATATTATTTGGGTTGACCACACCAGTTTCTTCCACTGTATCATCAAGACTTCTGGGATCAGGCACACTTTTCTCAGAATCAAAGTGTAGAACTGAGATGTCATCCAACATCAAGATGAAATTAAATTCTGGAAAAGGCGTATCTCCTTTGATGTAAGTTGTAATCGTACTCAAAGAATGAGAACCTGTGGGAAAGACACAGGAAATGTGAATTAGTGCATAAAATGAACATTATCATATTTCTCTATCACTTACTCATGAAAACTGGTTGTTTAAGCATTGCATCCCAACCCTCTACATCAACTACCAAGTGATCCAGGATTCAGTGACATTTGAAGGAAAAATGTACATAGGACCAAATGTACCAGGTAAGGACACACTAAGTTTCATCATTGCAGATGTTTGGCAAAAAATGTTTTGGTCATGAACAGTCTTTAGATGACAGAAAAGAAAACTTCCACAAAACATCAGATAAGCTTTGATGCTAACTAAACACCAGTGGTGGACAAAGTACACAAACCATGTACTTGAGTTAAAGTAGAGATACCCAAGGTAAAATATTACTGCAGTAAAAGTAGAAGTTCCTCCCTTTAGACCTCCACTTGAGTAAAAGTACTAAAGTATTTGCCTTCAAATGTACTTAAGTATCAAAAGTGAAAGTACTAAAAGATTAATTATGGCTCTGATGTCCTGTTATCATTTCTGTAACAAGACTCGCTTGATCAACTCATTTTAGGTGAAAATACTCCAGTGTCTCTCTTGGTAAACCAGTCTTTTAATAGAAGGTCATTAATTAGTGACGCTGATGTCTATTAAAATTATCATAAGCACAAAACACTGAAGGCAAACAGTTTCCATCAGGTAGAACTGAGTGGCTCTGAAATCACAAACAAGCAAAGTTTCAGTTTAAGATTTATTTAACTTAGTTACAAGTTTAAGTTTAATAAAGACTTTAATCTCAGATTCACAAATGAGTTTCCTTTACTAAACTGCATCTGTAGGTCTCTGTTCATAAACATAAACTAGCCTAAACTAATTTACTATAAAATGAAATCGTGTTTGTATAAATTCAGAAAAAGACACGTCAGTCTCAACTGCATATGAGTACATATTTCTATATTGTGGTCTGTTTACACAAAGTTAGGTTAGTTCATCATTTATGTTGAATAGACTCTCCCAAAATTTTACGCTGCTGCGCTGACATTGAACCGTGTGCTGCACTGGGTCGGTATGACCAACAGGTCAAAACAAGCTCAAAACAAAGTGACCGCTGTGCCCTGATTGGTGTTCTTGCTTGGCGCTTCTTTCGTTTTGACATGTTACGTTTTTATTCACACATAAACCAAAAGGAACGACAGATTTCTCATAATGTAGTGGAGTAAAAAGTGAGATATTTGACTTTGAAATGTAGTGGAGTGAAAGCAAAAAGTCCCCAAAATGGAAAAACTTCAGTAAAGTACAGATACACAAAAAACTACTTAAGTACAGAAACGAATGACATTTACTTAGTTACTGTCCACCACTGCTTACTACATAAAGGATACTTGGGAAATATAGTTGAACTTAAATTTACTTAATATAATGAACTTATGTATACTTTTTTGTAAGGCCAGCTGTGACCAAGGGGAGAGGATAGCGAGATTTTAGCCTACTCAATGTAAATGGTGTTAATTTCTCCATTTTTTACAGTCATCAAGTCACTAAGTTTCAGTCACTACTCCCATCTCTCTCTCACTCACACTCACTCACACACACACACACACACAAACACACACACTTCCTCTTTTCTTTCATTTGTCATCAATTTCCCATGATTTGTGGCTAGTGAAGTGACCAGCTGGAGATGAAAAAAGTCATTAGATTAAAGATACAAATTAGCTAGCATTAACAGGGTCCTGCTTCTTAAATGTATATAAAGTAAAGCTGTCAAAAAGCAAATTTTGGCACATCTTGTTTTGTTTTTTTTCTGCATTACAGCACATACATATTACACGCTATATAACAGCACATGTAAAATCTCCATAGCATGCACAAAAATGACAATAGACACCAGATAACAGTTGTGCAAGCTTGATCTGTGTTTTTAATTTCAAAATAAAAACATTTGTTTATGCTAGCATATGCCTAGAGTACTGTGCCTTATTCTCTCCAGTTGTTTTTAATTGTGCTGATTTATTTAGATCATGGCATTTTACTTCTCTATTGGTGTCCAAAAAACATGGACGCTTCTATGAAAGCAATTATTTTTAGGGACAAGCTAAACAGCACACCTAATGGTCAATGTTATAGATTTAACCAATGGTCTGTATCTTGACTAATGCTGAACATGAATTTGAGCACACCATCCTGACTGTCTGAGTAGGAAAGTATTTCCATTTGAGGGGATTTTTTTTATTTTTCCTTGAGAGAGTTCAAAAATTTAAGCTTTAATAACAAACTTTAGTCTAATGCATTTCCATATGTTAGTCACCAGCAAAAACATTCAAAACACAACAAATGCTGGTCATCAGCAAAAACCAGCATCACTCTGGTCTGTACTGTTTTTTTCAGTGTTAATAAGTAAGTGTTAATAAGTGAACACATCCTCAACAGAGAACACACTTCTGCACATTTTAATGCACATTTACTATTTATTTACTGAATTTAACATATTGGACAAAAATAGAACATAAAAAGGGCCTATGCAAAAGTTAAGGCACATTTTACATGTTTTTTTTTGCCAATATTTTTTCAATGTTAAATACTGTGCATTAAAATGTGCAGAAGTGTATTCTCTGTAGAAGATGTAATTAAATTAAAAAAACTCATTTCTCACTGTCTCATTTCCTGTCTGCATTCCATTGTAATTATCAAGAAAACAAACAGGAAAATGAAGATTTGCTCCGAAGGCTCCGAGATGGCATTTGCTACTCCTTGTAGCTGTGCTGATGTACTTTAGTCCATGTTCGTAAGTGATTTAAACAGTGCTTTAAAAAGTGTCAGAAGCCACATAATCATATTATATGATTATGGCAATAAAAGAACAATCTGGCCTTCCTATAAAACCAGTATGGATTAAATTAATCTGACCTTGAATAAGCAGGAATTCAGTAACCAACAGGCACATATTGAATGTTTTTGTAAGCAGCAAATTCTCAATGCAAATACAAACTTAAACCGATATTAAGGTTCTTTGATCTCTTACCTGCCAGGACAGTAGTAAGGGTCGTGGTACAGAAAGCAAACAATACGATGTGGATTGTGTTCATTTTGGCACAAGCAAAAGTAATGGATCCACTCAGCAAGACACAGGGCTAAAGCACACAAGCTAAAGTGGTTTCACCCACTACAGAACATCATTTGCCACTTCCTGCATGTGTTACCGGCCCCAGGGGAAAACCCGGGGCGCACTACAAAGCCCGTTTCCCTTAATAAAAGAGAGAACAGACATGTGGCATGCGC